CTGTATATCTGTAGACTTGGTATGTCTTAAATGTCCGGTTAGGATGTATTAGAACGAAATCTAAAATGAAAATTGTAAATAAGCCATCTGTATGTTAAAAACCACCTGTATGTAAATTGTAAATAAGCCATCTGTATGTCAAATATGTCTTATATGTCTTAAATGATATGATGAATTGGAAATGGGGGACCCTGATGTAAACAAGACGAAAGTCTTTCTCTGGTCTGCATCCCCTTAACAATTGTATGTTTTGAGCTGTACTGTACTGTACCCAATATACAAGCTGTTAATAAACTTTTCAATCAATCAATCAATCAACGCTCTCAGTTTGTGTGTGTCAACGATGAATCTTCCATGCAAACCAAAGTTAGCCATGGAGTGCCACAGGGCTCAGTGCTTGGACCTATTTTGTTCACATTATATATGCTTCCGTTAGGCAATATTATAAGGAATCACTCTGTACATTTTCATTGTTATGCGGACGATACTCAACTATATTTATCCATCAAGCCTGATGAAACCAATCATCTAAATAAAATTCAAGACTGCCTCAAGGACTTAAAAACATGGATGACCTTACATTTTTTGATGTTAAACACGGCCAAAACTGAAGTTATTGTACTCGGCCCAAAGACTCTACGAAACAAACTATCTAAAGATATATTAACTATGGATGGCATTAATTTGGCCTCCAGTGAGACTGTAAGGAATCTTGGTGTTATATTTGAACAGGATTTATCCTTTAACGCCCACATAAAATCAATCTCAAGGACCGCCTTTTTTCATCTACGTAACATTGCAAAAATCAGGCATATCTTGCCTCAAAACGATGCAGAGAAACTAGTCCATGCATTTGTTACTTCAAGGCTGGATTATTGTAACTCTTTATTATCAGGGTGTACCAAGAAGTCAGTTATGTCGCTTCAGCTGATTCAAAATGCTGCAGCACGTGTACTAAGTTCGGAAAAGGGACCACATTACTCCTGTTCTGGCTGCCTTAAACTGGCTCCCTATAGAACACAGGATATAATTTAAAATTCTTCTTCTCGCCTACAAAGCCCTTAATGGGCAGGTGCCATCTTACCTTAAAGAACTCATTATACCCTACTGTCCTACTAGGGCATTGCTTTCTAAGAATGCAGGGTTGTTGGTTGTTCCTAGAGTTTTTAAAAGTACATTGGGAGCCAGAGCCTTTTCTTATCAAGCTCCACTTTTGTGGAATCAGCTTCCAGTTTGTGTTCGGGCGGAAGACACCCTATCCGTTTTTAAGAGTACGCTTAAGACCTTCCTTTTTGATAAAGCTTAGTTAGGGCTGATTAGATTCAGCCCCTAGTTTTTCTGCTATAGGTTTAGTTTGTCGGGGGACACCTTACTTCTTCCTTCTCTCTGTCTGTACCTGTGTACTCTCATGTTCCGAATAACCCAGCTTCCCCCCAAATGTCTTTTTGGTGTCTATCTACGCCGGGATCCTGAGTCGTGGCTGATCCTATTGCTGCGGTCCTGTGTCCTGTGTCCTGGATCCTGAGTCCTGAGTCCTGGATCCTGTGTCCTGGCTGAACCTGTCACTGTGGTCCTGCCTGACTCTCATCATACTACTTCCCTGATGGCTCCCACAGGATTGATGACATCCTGGTGGATTCATCTTCTTATTATAGACACATGCATTTCCAAACATTTGGTCTACCTATGTTGTAAATGTATTATCTTTTCGATTTACACACGGCATCTATTGCACGTCTGTCCGTCCTGGGAGAGGGATCCCTCCTCTGTTGCTCTCCCTGAGGTTTCTCCCATTTTCCCCTTTAAACTGTGGGGTTTTTCCTTCTTTGGAAGTTTTTCCTTGAACGATGTGAGGGTCTAAGGACAGAGGGTGTCGTGTTGTCATACTGATATTCTGTACAAACTGTGAAGTCCACTGAGACAAATGTAACATTTGTGATATTGGGCTATATATAAATACACATTGATTGATTGATTGATTGATTGATTGATTGATAGACATGGGACCTTTAAAGGATTAGAAAGGTGAGAAAAGACAACATTTTGTTGAAAATTATATAGAGGTGAAATGCACTTTAAGTTATTTAACATGAGGAATATGACAGGAATGTATCTCTTTCAAATTCCTAACATTAAATAACATGTATAATGCATTCATTAGTGCCAATAAACTAAAGCAGCCTATCCAGCACAATGTAGCACTCTTGGAAATAAAACCGTTTTTAAATTGTACAAGCGTAACTACAATATGGGTACTTGCACTTGTAATTCAGTTTGTTTGGTACTTAATACTCCTCAGTGCTAAATTAAAAGGTGTAATTGTAATTTGAACAGTTAATTTATTTCACAGTTGTAACTATGCAGATAAAGTAATTATATACACAACCTGAGTTTCTAAAATACAATGCAATGCTCAAATGTGCTCAACAATATATGAATAGAAAACGGCTTCACCTCAACCAGCTGCAAAATTAAATGCTGCTTACATATTAATGGCAAGACTAATCTAATAATATAAATAGTTAAAAATATAACACCAATACTAGCTGTTTTCTGCACAATTTGACTTTCAATTTAAATGTTACTGCTAATAAAAATGCACTTTTACTTAACATATTGAATGCAGGATTTAAAATGTAATCAAATAATTTAAAAAATAACAATATTCTTCTCACCCCACTAATAACTGATACAGAGGATTGATAAATTAGATACATACAATAATTGCAGTTTGTTATGTTTAGTTTTGTTCAGCTTCATCTCCATAAAAAATAAAATCACTTGTACCTTATTCCTCGTCAGCTGCTGTGTGTCTTCGTATCTTTGCAATCTGCACTGAGGACTGAGCCCTCCTCTGTCAGGCTGCTTCAGAGAGAAGGAGGTGTGGTCATTTAATTGTTTATGTATGTCTTTGCAGGTATTGTGTGTCTGTGTGCGCAAATGAAGTCAAGTGACACAAACGCTCAATTCAAATGAACACATTCCCCCTTTTCCCCTCCCCAGCAGCATGAATAGAAAACAACTTGACAAATTGATAGTGGAAGAGGAAGTGAGACACGATGAGAGGCTCTGAAAAGAAAGAGGCAATTATCTGAGAAGTCAACCGCTCGTGGAGTTGTGGGCACGCGTCTCCATTGTGTGTCGCACCAAAGGCAGCTTGTTAAATACAGGGAGACACGAACACACCAGTTGAGCCAGTTAACAAGCTCTTAATTGATCAGCTTAAACTCTGGCTCTAATTATCACATTCTCAGAGGGAAGAGCTAAGATGGTTGCTAGTGGCTTTAATTGACCTTTGCAATTCAATAGCACACCTTCCATGTACAGAGTTTTACATATCTATGGAAGCAGGTGGGCGGAGAGAGGCTTGCATTTGCACTCAAATAAAAAAAAATGTTTTGCTTTCATGGTTTTACTAATTAAAACTGACCTCATCCTGAGTTTCAGTTGAGTGTGATTTGGTGTTACTCTCACATCCAGAATACCATTGAGATATGTGGTCTATGTTTCTTGTTACTGGTTAACTGTCTTATTTAAATGTTATATAAAATATGGAAAGAGCAACATGTGACAACAAGCATATGACTCAGATATACAGTCTCATCGCAGTGTAGAAAGGTTATTAAATATTGTATTATCGGCCTTTTATTGATATATGTACTAACTTTTAAACATTTGTATACGGTTATCTTTTAGTTTTTTGTGAACTTATGTTTACCCCTATATTTTCTTTTAGGATTATATTTCTCTTTCTTTCCTGACGTTTATTTTATCTCATTATCTCATTGTCTGTCTGTCTGTCTGTCTGTTTAATCAACCTATTTGGAAAAGTCAAATGGGGAGGGATAGGGGAGGACTGGACTGGCATTCACTTTTCTGGTATTTTCAAAACATAAATTCAAGAATAATCCAAATAAATTCACTGACTATATCATAACACAAGAAGACCCTGTATTCTCAAACACCTTTCTGGCCTTTTTGATTCCACAAGTCCATGGCAATTTACCCAAAGCACAGAAACTGAGGAGTGGCATTTGGCCTATTTATAGAGACACCAGCACATGTGCTTCTGACCAGAGAGCTGCAAAGCTCACTCTCTGCTGTGGTCTCCACTTCAACTCTTCACCAAGTGACACAAATCTGTGGTAAGGTGATGTTATGTGTCTACATGTATGACTCAAGTGGCTTTGGTACAAGAAGAGGCCATAAAACATGTGTGCAATGGACACTAAGGAAGCTTCAGTCAGTTTTTGTGCATAAGTAACTGTACAGTAGCTTGTCAGGATGTATTTTCCACAACCTCTCTGTCTGCAGCTGTTCCTCACATATGTTGTTTTCTCAGATTCTTCTCTGGGCTGATAAAGGTCTTATCACACTTTCTGTGCGCTGGTGGAAGAACTTTGACCCGGTGAGAAGACCTTAGCCCCTCCCCCTTTGGTCCAACAGAACCAATCAGAGAGGAGCTCTGAGTGTCTTTGGCCCTGGTAATATAAGGAGAGGGTCAGAAGAGCTATATTCTGAAAGGTAGGCTATACGTTTATACTTATTGGGTATTGTAATAGTCATAACTTAGAGTGGTTCAAGACACAGCAATTACCATTTTAGATATGCCATTTAAATCACTATAAGTGAGTGATCATCATAATTTTGGCCATCTCACATTTTTTAAATGGTATTTAAACTTTATTTAACTAGAGTCCTAGATAATTAATATCAATTTAGCCTTAATAAAAACAGTAGTGTTGTAGGCTAGCATTTTCTTTACTAAAATAAGATTTTGAATGCAGGTATTTTACCTGTCTTTTTACAGTGGCCTATAGTGCCAATTTTACAAGATCTGAATCTTCTACTCCTGAAAGTAAAACATAATTAGACGAAATGAATATCAGATTCAAAATAATGCACACATATATTGCAAAGCCGCTAATAAATATGTCCATATTGTGAAGCAGTCTTCCCTAGTGGGTTTATTGTGTTATTGTTGACTCTGGCAGGTCACCATGCGGCGGGTCTGGGCTGTATTCAGGGCTCACCCTTACGTCGGGAACGTGCTCGGCTACACCACGCTTTTCGCCTCGGCTGACGTCATACAGCAGAGCGTGCTGGGGGGGGGACACGCGAGACCCGGCATCGACTGGTGTCAGACGGCTCGCGTGGCCACTGTGGGGTTCTGTTTCCATGCCAACTTCAACTACTTCTGGCTGCGGGCGCTGGAGCGCGCGCTGCCGGGGGGCGGGATCAGGGCGGTGACCGGGAAGGTGGCGGTGGATCAGATGGTCGCTGCCCCGCTCACCATCAGTGCCTTTTATATCGGTGAGTGTGTCACAAAGCGTATTAAAGTCCAAACAGGTATCCATTTATTTATCCCATCTATTTGACCCCTAATGACCCAGCCGGTGTAATGGTGCAGATTGCAGAAGTTTTACAATTGTATGGCTTTATTGGCATATGCACAATGGCTGAAGCATAGTTTTGGCAATTAAAATCTTAACATTGAAAGTCCCAGTAAATCAAATTAATTACAGTACATATACATTTCCTCCTCTGTATTGTAAAATGGGAACTCCTTTCTGTTATTAAGTCCCATTTAATCTGAGGGTGACATGTACTTTATTCTAAAAACACTGATTTGCTATTGTTATAATACTTGGGGAAAATGCTAAAGTAAATATAGTCATTGTTCATTTATTATTGCACATGTTGCTCTATGTTGATTGAATGTTTAATGGTATGTTTGACTACATTTGACATTTTTGCATGTTCAGCTGACCCGCTGGCTCTTTTGAAGATTGAATTGAAGATTACCATTTGTTGTTTATAATTTATCTTGGATTATTCTAATGTTTTTTTCCATTAAATGTTAGGAAATATATTCAAAAATGACGCTTATGTGAAATAGTATTGCATTTTTAACCACACATTTTACAATATTAAAAAGAAAACATTAGATCTGAAGTAATATTTAAAAATGAGAGGGTTTGAACAATGCTCACACATCATGTGTTTTTATCGATGGATCCATCAAGGAGTCAGTCAAATATTTAACAGACATCTCTTCTTCAGGTTTAAGTTTACTAGAAAACAAGGATGACGTGTTTGAAGACTGGAGACAGAAGTTCTGGACCTCTTATAAGGTATTCATACGTTTCCCTCATTTAAATATTTATTCCTCAGAAGAAATACATCTTTCTGTCACTTATCTATTGATCTTTCTCTCTAGACTGGAGTGATATATTGGTCAATAATGCAGGTGAAACATCCTTTTATTCCCTATATCATTGTTTACTTTCTGGCCACATATTCAAATAATGTACATGCTGATATGTAACAATATTTCCATCTCTTCCACCATCGCAGGCAGTGAACTTCACCCTGGTTCCTCCTGTGGCTCGCACAGTGTTTCTGGGAGGCATCGCGCTGACTTTCACCATCTTCCTGTGTCACCTCAGACAGCAGAGTGACAACAAACTTGAATAAACCTAAGATCCTCAACTCCATGACTAATGTTTTTGTATGGAACAACTGTGACATTAAAACGTTTTTTGAGGGCAGGATTGGGTGTCAAAGTTATACTGAGAAAACAAGGGAGGGAATACATAGAAATATGTGGTAATTCCAAATTGGGACATTTCTAGAAAATAGGATAAAGGTCACATCTCTGGGGAACAGTTGATTAGCTATGGATTATTGTTCAGCTGTAGTTTGTTTCTTGTTTAAACAGAATAGTATCAAAATTGTATAATATTGTACAAACAGAGTTTTAATCATGCTATTAATATTTAATGATCCTTTAACTGTTTAAGTGTGTCTTACTGGAATAATGTTATTGATGCTGCATTACATATTTAACCAATAAAAAAATAACTATTTAAAAATTATTTTCGTGTTGTCTTCTCAAAACTATTTAAGAAAATAGTATAATCGTTTAAATATCTACTTTTGTCATAAACAGCCTGACACTGAACCTTATATTTGTATAGCCTCTTACTGCAAATTGTTTTGTTTAGTTGAATGAGGACAGTATCTAACCATTTTGTCCTTAATTTAGCCATATTTTACTTTTATAAAATGAAACTCTTGAGGAAATTACCATCTTATATTATGTTATTTATCTATTACATTACATTTAAACAACAAAAGCAAAGTATAAACTTACTGTTAAACACTATCACCTGCATTTTTGTATAATAAATGCATACTAAAATATATACCCTACCTGATAATAGCTCTTATGTGTGCAAGTAGGTCTCTGCACCACTAGAGGCGCTGTCATAAAAGGCCCGTCCTCTGTAACCAATCAGAGACCCGAGATTTCAGCCCAGTGTTTATCGCGAGACCTCGGCTCTTCCTTTTCCCTTTTTCGCCCTGAGCCCAAGATGGTAGGTACTGCTAGTGGAAAATGAAAAATACAAAAGCTTGACTATCCACGATCATCCTATGAATTAAAACATCTCATGTTTGTTACGACAGGCTGTACTTGTTGTAAACATATTAAACGTTACAGTCTTGCCATGATTTCGTGTTATTTGACTATGTAAACGATATTAGCTTACCCGTTTGGTGCCGATGTTCAGGCAGCCGGTCCACGCATTGACTCTGGTCAAAAACGGGCTCTTAAAGTGCTTCATAATGCAAAGTATTGTCTTCAGCTATACCTTTCTAGTTCACCAACATTATCGTTTGTTACCAAATGTAAAATTAAGCCACAGTTTGAAGTGTAGAGTTGTTTACACCGGCTATCGTGTTAGCATTTAGCTGTGTAGTGTCAACGTGTGAAACGGCCTGCAATAACATTATGTGATTTTCTGCTTCTTGTAACTTTATGAAAGTGACTGTTTTTATGTACAAGTTGTGCTTAGTATAACATTGTGTTGCAATGGCAGTCATAGAAGTACAATATAAGTTTAGCAATGGAGACTGTTATAGATGCTATAGTTTCCCCATATCCGTGACAAAATGAACTAAATACCCTGATCTGCTTGTTAATGCATTACTCTTTGATATTCTATTAATGTGTTTCTGTTTACTTTTCTAGGGAGTTGACATCAGACACAACAAGGACCGTAAGGTGCACAGGAAGGAGCCAAAGAGCCAGGATATCTACCTGAGGCTCTTGGTCAAGGTAATTTAGTTTTACACGTTGTGATTGACTCATTGCAAAAACACCACATGTATTTATTTCCATCTTGGTTGGCACTGTCAATTCTGTGTAGGTATTCTGTAAATCTGAACTGCTGTAGTCTGATCTTTCATGATCTCTCTAACTATCCTGTTGTCTTCTTACAGTTGTACAGGTTCCTTGCCCGTCGCTGTAATGCTCCTTTCAACAAGGTCATCCTGAGGAGGCTCTTCATGAGCAGGACCAACAGGCCCCCGATCTCCATCTCCCGCCTGGTCAGTCTGTTGTCTTTCAACCCGTCTTATCACCAATGAATCCTATCACTATCATTAGTTGTAGACTGTAACATTTTAATCATCACAATATCAACTTGTACGATAAACACATCAAACAACACTCAGGGATATGTTTTATATATATTCTTGGGGATAACAAATATGGTTAGGAAATGGGCACACGTGTTATTACTCAATGATTCCTCTTTTTACATTGGTACCTTTTTTGTATTCGGTACACCTCTATCCAATAATGTGAAATGATTTCCTCTAATTTGTTTAAAGCAATTTGTTGTATTTCAGCAGCAAGCTGAAAGGCAGTGCTGGGTACACTTTAATAAATACACTTCAAGTACCGGTAGTAGTGCTATCACTCTTATTGTAAGGTGAAGTTTTGATACATTTGGATTTGGACAACTTGTTTTCTTGCGGTCTGTTCTGCTTGCCAATGGCTCTGAATTCTGTGTGAAAATAGATTTGGTTAACAAATTTGGGTAAAACTTAAGTCGGTGTTAATAATACCCATATGGCTTTTATTTTTGCCTCAACACTTGATATGGAAATGTTAAGAAGTGGTGGTCAACTTGAAAGAAATTGTACACGCGATGTCATTCATGTAATGCAGCCAATAACAGCTTGCATGATATTGCCCAGATTAGATGTCCTAAAGTTGAATGTATATAAGACCTGTTGTTCATACATGTGATTGTGTGTGTGTGTGCGCTAAATATCTGACATTTCTTGTATTGAATCTAGATCCGTAAAATGAAGATGCCTGGCCGCGAGAACAGAATCGCTGTCGTTGTGGGATCCGTCACTGATGATGTCAGGATTCAGGATATCCCCAAGCTCAAGGTAACCCCTCTTTTTAGAATGGCAGACTTCAAACATTACATTGTGGTTTTCTCTATAAAAACATCAAGTAGTGCAATGAGGATCTTGCCTTAATGCTGTGATGTTACCTGTGAAAGTCTCTGAGATTGTCCTGTTTCTCCTGCCACAGATCTGCGCTCTGAGGGTGACCGATGGCGCCCGCCGCAGGATCCTGAAGGCAGGCGGTCAGGTGATGACCTTTGACCAGCTGGCTTTGGCTTCTCCCAAAGGACAGGGCACAGTGCTGCTGTCAGGTAAATAAACATTATATTTAATTCATAATAACCATGATGCAATTGGAGAAGAGGTTGTAAGCAGTAAATATCCCATTGCTGCCTTTAGTTCACATATCTACTATAGTTTCACACTGGCATGATTTAGTTACATTGGGTAAACACTTTTAACAGAAGTGTCGTGATGCTATTATGATAAGAACTCTCCATCAATGAGGAAAGCAGGCTTTTATCTATATTTACTGATGGGCAATTAATCACCGCTTAAAGGTGGGGTAGGTAAGTCACTTCAGAAACACTTTTTGTTATATTCCATGGAATGCTCTTAACATCCAGCAATGAATATATTAAATGCTTTGAACATACAAAAAATTCATCTGCGGAAGCCGTAATACTGTAAAAAGCACGACCAATCATTTTAGCCGGCCCGGCTAAAATAACTGGATGGCCTACCTGCCTGTCAGCCTTCCATCTGTGCACAAACTTATCTCGTGCCCTCATTGGTCATGTGCACGTTCGTGTGTGTTGGAGGAGGGGCTCTGTAAGGAAGTAGCAGATTTCTTCCGGCTGTGTATTTTCAAATTCTAGCGCACTCGAGCTGGTTTCTCCAAAATTACCTACCCCACCTTTAAACGCATTATGGGTTTTGTTTAATGTGGTAATTTTGTCAGGCTAAAGAGACTCTCATATCTTATCATCTTCTGTATGACCTCTGTTTAGGCATAAGCGGTTAAGTATTGACACATTTGAAACTGCCAGCATTGGGTGACAATGTTATATCTATGGAAAATATTATTTGGTGCATTAGTTGGGAATTAATCAATCCGTATATTTATCTTTTGGAGATGAGACATGTTTTGTGTTATCAGACTATTTTCTTGTCAACTGTAAAGTGTTTTCCTTGCTAACCAACGATCTAGAAATATTCAGCCGTAGAATTGCTCACATTAGATTAAATCTCTTTGGACGTCTATATGGCATTCATAATGCAGAACACAAAGAAGTGAGGCTAAATTGCTAAAAATGCTATTTATCACAAATAAAATAGGAAAGCAATAATGCGGCAAATAGAACTGCACATTTTTTATCAGCTTATGTGCAACAAACTATTTTGTAATATTATAATCTCTGCTATTAGGAGGTGAAAGTGTTGAGAATTAGAGTTATGAATGGGAGTGTGGAAATACTTTTTAGTAATGATCTTTTGAATGCTGTATTTGCTTTAAATCCTAAACCTTTGTCTTTTTCTTCAGGACCCCGTAAAGGCAGAGAGGTATACAGGCATTTCGGAAAAGCCCCTGGAACTCCTCACAGCCACACCAAGTATGTATACAGTTCATGTGAACTCAGAAAAACAGAACAAAATGTTCAAGTTTGGGTGTCTAAACAAATAATTGTTATACACTAGTATTTAAATAATCTGATACCAGTTTTCTATGGTATTCTCATGGAAATTGCACTCTGGAAAGTGGGGTTAACGTATTCAGATTTTGTTGTCTGACTCTTCAGTTGACTTCTTCAGTGACACGCTCTGTTAGGGGTTGTCTGTCTGTCGTCATCCTGCCCTTGTGTCACTAGTTGTCTGATATTCTGGTCAATGTTGTTGTATACATCATTTGTACTAGTGGATTATATTTTACACATTATAGGTAGTAACCAAACTAATGTACACAAAAAAAATCACAAGAAACTCGATACCTCCTTTTGTATAAAAAGAGTTTCAATCGGTGCCTAGTAAAACGGAGTAGCAATTAGCACTCGAGGCAAAATTGTGTTTAATGATGACTCTTAAACCCTTTAACAGATAGTGAGATTTAAAAAATACGTTATTTATAGTATTTTAAAACAAACAAAATGCACTTTGAAGGTTATTATAACTGGCAAAACTTAGGTACTTTTTTAAGTACCTAAGTTGCTTAAATTAATCATGAGCAGTAACATTTTCCTTTTTGTCTTTTAAACATAGTAGTTATGGAACCAAACAATTGTAATTGCCATCCTCTGATAGCAACACTGCAAAATGTTTTAGTTCTCCTTTGTGGACTTGCTATAAGAAGGCTGTGAAAGGCCCTCATTTTACATGGACAAAAAGTATTTCTGACTGGTGCGCAGTAAATAAAA